CATATATATATACGTATGATCAGACACGTGCACATTTTATATATATACACACACACACACACACACGTACATATATATATATATATACATATACATATACATAATATATATATATATATATATATATATAACCGTAGTGCGACCACCTACTCTATGGCCTCTTCGTCGGGGATAGTTTGATCGTCTTCTTCGGGGTCAAAGTCCACTGTATCTTTGTCCATAGCTATGGCTTGTAAGCTCATCATAAAGTATCGCAGAGATGGATTGTACGGCAACTCACTCGTCTGTTGATACGACAAATAAGGATAGACCAGTGTCAGTATGTAGCTACTAGTATTGCAATGCACCGCTTGTTGGGCCATCACCACGTGGCTTAGCTTATAAGCTTATCATATTGTGTCGGGCTTATAAGCTTATCATGTTGTATCGGAGGACGGGGATGTATTGCCACATATTACATATTCGATAAAATATAATACCACCACGAATAATATTTTTATCAATTTGTAAATAAAATACGCCTATCTATGCTGATTTACCGTGGGGTTTAGCTAAGGCTTATACACTCCTCTTACAGAGTTGTAGAGAGAAAAATGTTGTACGGCGACTCACTAGTTTTTGAAACATCAATACAAGCAGAAGGTAGACTCTGCTAATCTGTGGATAAATGGTGTTAGTGCACGCGCAATTAATTGTATTGTACTCGATTGCTATACCTTGTAGGTTCGTTGTACACTACCGAGAGAGTGGTTGTACCACACACAACACAACACAACATACACCAATTCTGTTGTCTAGTCTCCTCATCCCCCGCAATACATATAACAGACCCACCTCACAAGGGGAGACACACAACCCGCCTCATTACACAGACAACCGCGTGTGCACCTAATAGGCACACATACTTTAAAGTCCATGCTCAGATTCTGCACCACTCTCTTGGCCAGGTTGATTTGAGCGGAAGTGGGCTGGGCTGTCTCGAGATCTTCTTGATCTTGTGTGGGTAGATAAAATATACATACGTATAGATACGGGTATGTTAAAATACACAATATGTACAAAACACGGGTGAGTATGGATATGAATGCATGCATAAATTTGTATACGAGTAGATAAGATATACATATGTACAAACACGAGTAAGTTTGAATATGAAAGTATTCATATGTTGATATACGCGTAGATAATATACATATATGTATAAACACGGGTGAGTTTGAATATGAATGTATAAACACGGGCAAGTTAAAGTATACATATTTATAAACACGGGTGAGTTTGAATATGAAAGTATACATATATTAATATACGCCTTTAAAAAATACACATCTGTACAAACACGGGTGGGTTTGGATATGAATGTATACGTATTTTTATATATGCGGTCTATGTGATGTTCATAAGGGAGCAAGAACAAGATCCCATAGCTCAACCCCGCACCACTTTTTTTTGCCAAAGCAGTTAGAGCTACCAGACTCGTGCAAATTTACGGAAGCACTACGTATTCATAAAGAAACTGTACGAAAATGTTTACGTATTCATAAAGGAACTTTACGAATATATATATATATATATAAACTTTACGGAAATATTGATGTATTTACAAAGGCTTTAATGTGGACTGGCCGGGCTATGTTGAGGTCTGCACACGAACCAATTCGAGAGAATCAATTCTCGAATGAAATTGTTCTTCGATAGATACATGTAGGTAAAAGTATACATGCAAGTAAATATATAAACCGTCTGTAGTCATCACTGAGGTGGTAAGCGAAACTCGCCCTTGCACAAGACCATGCAGATTATACCACTTGAATGTATGACGACAAATTACCGCCATCAACTATATACAAGATTATTTAAGTCATCAACTATATACAAGATTAGGGGATCCGGTGTGTGCACAGCAGCAAAGGCACGATATCCCTTTTTTTTTGGCGATTAGATATAATATGTGAATATATGCAGGGTGCTGGGGTTTATGCAAGTGAAGATGGAATCCACTATTGATCTGCGATGGCATGCACAGTCTTCATACAAGGTGATTAAAGTTTTCATAAACGGTGTTTAAAGTCTTCATACAAGGTGTTTGTTTAGCCAGTGGCAGAAACCACTTAGCACATACACTTTCAGATACAGAAAGTCTCAACGTGTGTGATACAGTCTTTGCAGCATACTTAATTCTGTGGGTGTATGCATATTCCCACATATCTATACATATGTAAATGTATACGGATACATATGATGTCTACGGCTGTGCAACTGACTGAGTAGTGTCAGAAAGACCATCCGTAGCAACATACATGGAAGTGTTGGTGTATGTTCCTCATAGACTGTTTGTATTGCTGCTATATACAAATGTGGATATACGTATAAGTATCAACGAAACTTCGGGAAATTTCTTACGCACACCTATGCCACTGTTGTGATTGAGCTTCCGAATGTCGTCCTTATATGGCAGGTAATTGAAGCTGAACCCCGGCGGCAGTATTTGTTCGTTAGAATCGGGATCACGTACTTCGCACTGTGGCACCAGAGCAACAAAGCGAGTCTTGCCTGCAAAGAATAGGACACTCATTATTATA